TATATTCATATATATTTATATACATATATGTATTTATATATATACACATATTTATTATTATATATATTATTATATCTATATATTTATAGATAAAAAAAATATATATGTATATAAATTAAAACTCTGATGAACCAGATTCTACAAAAACATCTAGATTTAAATTTTTATAGGTTTTCATCATCATTTGATGTATTTGCACTCATTGTGTCTACTTTTAATGTTCATTTGAAAAACCACACATTTTTTCAAATGTGTGGTTTTCTTTCTTGTTCACATATATACATTTTATTTTTAGCTTTGCTTTAAAGTTCTTGTTTTGTGATTTGTACATTTGTGAGTTAAAATAAAGTTGAACTGAAGGACGTCTCTTTTCTTTAAACATATTTGAGGGAAATATTCCTGAGATCCAATAGTTGTATCTTTTTATGATTTTCAGCTGAGTTAACAGTCATTAAAGTGAAAACAGGATTTCATGATGAAGCTGGCACCGTTTATTTAATTATTTTTTTAATCTTCAACGCTAAAATATATATATATATATATATATATATATATATATATATATATATATATATATTGTTTTTTTTACACGACCCTCTCCTCCGGAGACAGGACGGGCAGGCTCATCCTCCCAGCTCCAGCTCAGCTGGTGACTGACAGAGGCTGTTCCAAGACCCCAGCCGTGCGTATTCATGAAGGCCCGACCCGCGCAGACAGGCGGACAGAGACGGGTCTGCGACTAACAGTGGAAGCGATTTTAAAAAACATTTTACGTGTAAAAAAAATATATATATCATTTTTAAATCGCTTCAGCAATTTTTTAAAACATTTTTTGTATAAAAACAAAATATTATTTTATTTAAATATCGCTTCCACCGTCCGTCCCAGACTGTCCAGTCCGCCTGACTGCCAGGTGGGCTCGGGATTCAGCCTTCATGATTACGCGCGGCTGGGGTCTCACAACGGCCATCTGCGAGTCCCCATCTCCAGCTTCGCAGTGACCTGCAGAGCTCTGAGCACACAAGGCTGGTATCCGGAACCCGAGCCTCCGAGTCGGCACATCGAAGGATCTTCCGCGGTGACCAGCTGAACTTGGAGCCGGGGAGATGACGCCCTGCCCGGCCTGGCGCTCCGAGTCTCCAGGGGGAGGATCGGGGTAGACCAGCAGAGCTCCATCCAGCTTGCTCTGAATTATGTTGTCGGCCACCAAGCACAAAAAATGCCAGCGCATCAGCATTAGATCAAGATGTTGTCAGTATTGTTTTTAAAATCTTTAAAATAAGTCCAGCCGCTGCTCCAGTCCGAGAAATTGCAAATGGCGGATTATTGTTTTGAAAAGTTTCTGAAGGATCCAGTGACTCCGCCCCCGACTCCGCCCCCGACCAATCAGTGACCGACAGTGTTCTGACGACACGTAGTACCTACTCGTTCTGGTTAGAACCCCAGAGCCAAGGGTACTGAAAATAGTAACAGGTGCTAAGTACCGGTACTAATGGAAAAGCCTTAGAACCGGGCCAAGTAGGGTACAGTTGGCCCGTACCGGTACTAATGGAAAAGGGGCATTAGTCTCTCCAGTGTGTCCTGGGTCTTCCCCAGGGTCTTCTCCCAGTTGGACATGTCTAAAGCACCTCCCTAGGGAGGCGCCCTGGGAGCATCCTTGGGAGCACCCTTACCAGATGCCCGAACCACCACAAGTGGCTCCTCTGGATGTGAAGGAGTAGCGGTTCTATTCCGAGTCTACTCCTCATCGTATCTCTAAGGGAGAGTCCAGCTACGCTGCAGAGGAAACTCATTTCAACCACCTGTATCCACAATCTCATTCTTTCAGTCACTACCCAGAGTTCATGACCATAGCTGAGGGTAGGAACATAGACCGACCGGTAAATAGAGAGCTTTGCCTTAATAATAATGATAAATGATAAAGCTCTGTACATGTTGTATAACACAATCATTGTTCCACATTTAATCTATTGCATTGATGTTTGGGGGAAAGCGTGTAAAACATTTACAAAGCCTATTTTTATTTTACAGAAAAGAGCTGTAAGAATCATCACCAGAAAGCATTACAGTCACCCATCAAGCACATTATTTTATCAACTGAACTTATTGAAGTTCCATGATTTGGTAGATTTCAGTATTTTATCAGTTATGTATAGGGCTCAAAATAACACATACCATTAAATATCCAAAGAAATTTTGTTAAAAGACAAAGTTGTTATAATCTTAAGGGGATAGAGATATTTGTCAAACCAAAATTCAGAACTAGTCTGAAGGGAAGGTCTACCTCAATCCAAGGAGTTGGATTGTGGAATGGTCTAGAGAGTGATGTGAAAAATGCCAAGTCAATGTGTACATTTAAGAAAAAGATCAAAACTGGATTGTTAAAAAAAATATATATGAAGTAGCTTAGTGTGTGTTTTGTATTAGAATTAGAAAAATTAGAAAGAGTTATTCATTTCGTTCTGTTACTTGAAAATTATTATGATTGAAATAATTGTTTGAAAAAAAGGGCAGATATAATAAGATTTTTTTCTTCTTTCTGCTGCCTTTCATTTTAAATCTTTTGTATCTTTTTATATTGTTATGGAATTGTTTTGTATTTTTGAAAATTAATAAACTTTATACCATACCATGCCTTACAGCTCAGCTCTATCTTTACCACAACGGACTGTTACAGTCTGCAATACTGCAGAAGCTGCATCAATCCATCTGTCAGTCTCACGCTCCATTCTTCCCTCACTCATGAACAAAACCCCAAGATACTTGAACTCCTCCACTTGAGGCAGAACCTCATCTTTGATCTGAAGAGAACAATCCACCCTTTTCCGGTTGAGGACCATGGCCTCAGATTTGAGGTGCTGATTCTCATCCCAGCTGCTTCACACTCGGCTGCAAACCGCTCCAGTGAGAGCTGAAGATCACAACACGATGACGCCAACAGGACCACATCACCAAGTCAATGTTCTCTCTAAGCTACATGCCTGTGCAATTGCACACTGCTCACACATTCTATGTGCACAAGAAAATCTATGCTGCGCAGTTGAATTGGCCACAAGGTTATCTCCCGTTTTACAATAAACTGTCAGCCCAAGCGCAGCGGTCTGTACAGTGCAGCAGCCTGATGCTTGCAAAGT